CGAATATCTCAAAAACGGCGGCGCGGAGCGCCGCCGTTTTTGGTACACCTTATCATGCATCAATTCTACACATGTTGTGAAAATTTCAGACCAAGGTCATTCAAGGTCAGGTCACCAGGTCACTTGAAGTGACCTCACCTCATAAAAACTTTCAATGTCTGTCATAGCTACACCGAGTGACCGATCGCTTTGAAACTTTCAGCGATTGCTAAGAGCAATAGCATGTACAAAATGTATATCTCAGAATTTTGATTTCGATGACCTAAGGTCACGTCAATTTTGCGACCTCCCCATTATAAGTCAATGGGAGAAAATTGAAATGCGCCTCTTTTGGATGAAAGACATTATAAACACTCCCAAACACCAAATTACAAGTGGTTTAGACACACTGAACATGAAAATGGTGTCCGTGACCCTTGTTTATGCCCTGAGGTCATCGTAGGTCACGAATGGTATCTAACAGTTTTTCGCAAATAACTTTTGATAGAGGCATGCTAGAGCGCTGAAAACGCCTTAGATGTGTTCAGCTCGACGATACGGATCGACTGATATGCAACATGACCCTTTCCGGTCAGGTCATGACCTTGACCTGAGGTCAAATTTTCAAGTTGACCTTTCAAGGTCAAGTCATAGTTCATTCGATGCGTCTTGACGAGAGAAACACGATGCCGGTAAAAGTAAGCTCGTACAAGGTTTGGGTCAAAAGTTATTGCAGAAAAACTGTTTTCGAAAAAATCGGCTATTTTTGCAGTTTTTGCCCCCTGCAGGCAAAACCGTTGACTTTAGGTCAAATCTGAGAGAATTACTCAGAAAGGGCGTTAATAGGGCTATCGAATGCGCTTTTCCGCGGCGCTGTAGCTCTATTGGTTCCCGAGTTATGCGTTGGCTTCTTGGAAATTTTCGACATTCGACCTGGAAATCGGCGAAATTTTGCCTTCAATGACCTCTGGTGACCTGACCTTTGACCTGACCAAAAAATTGACCGAAGTGATTTCGTCATTGTTTTTGACGCTCTTTCGAACGCCGCCTTTCGCGTATCGCTACGTGGCCCAGGAGCCGAGTTACAAGGGGGGGGGGTGTTCAAACACCCCCCCCCCCCAGCAGGGCGTGGAAATCCAGGACCCCCAGCAGGGCGCGGGTTAAGTTAGAAATAAACTATTGAAAATATGGAAATCTTTCCGTTTGTCTGCCTGATATTCTACATAAACATTTCATCCACAGCGCAGTTGCCGCAAGGCCTTCGCTTTGCCGCTGATACAAAAAGACCATTTGAAATTCCACGAATTTGAGAAAATGCCTTCCGGCTAGTTGCTGCGTAAGTTCTTGTCATACTAGGAGTAGGAATGCCATTCGCTAGCCAGGGCTAAAACGGAAAAGATATCTACATAAAAAAATAATAAATGGCGGCACTGTACTAATAAAAAGTGTTTTTTTTTTTCAATACCCACATGCCATCAAGAGCGGAATGTTTCAACTTATAACCTTTCATTTGTGAAGGTAACGCCGTTTCATATCATGCGATCCCAAGACTCGCTTTGACAGTGCAAGGATTTAAAACTTCATATATTCAAATATCACGCACAGCCCATTTGACAAGTAACTGCAGCAATCTGACTGCAGACTGGGCGTCTCAAAACGGTCGATGTGCTCAATCTGATATCGACTGCTCGACGATACTGGCGCGGCAGTGGCGTCCAGATTCTGGCGGCGCGCGAGTTACGAGCGGGGGGCGGGGGGGGGGGTGCGCTTTAATAAGGAGCGGGTACAGGAACGCGGCGGACGGCCCCGCAGTCGCCGACTGTACATAAATTATATCTCGGTAATAAAGCTGCGCGCTCAATATATCGGCCAAAAGCACCGTCCCTGGCGCCAGCTGAAAACGCATGACGACGACACAGACAGCACAGTGTCGCGTGGGGGTGACGGGCATGAGGAAAATGCGCACAAAAACTCCGGGCTGCAGGAGCTGGCCCAACTAAGGCAAAATCATGCGCCCATGTGCGGTCACTGGATAGAAGATATCGATGACCTAAACAAGGGTCACTACCAATAGGCATTCAAAACGTGCCTTATCAGTAAAGTAACGCCCTCGGTAGCTCTTCAAGAGCAAATAAGGTGACCTCTACGTTCACTTACCAGGAAGATCTAGCCGTGACACTGGACAGATGTGATTTCCGAAGGTTTTCTTGATTCAGCGTAATTGGAAACGGGGAAGTATCATGGAAGTTATCGCGGAGGCACGCAGGGGCCGTAAAGTGGGGCCAGCGCCGATAGTGTGAGGCCAGAACTTGGATCACTAACTTTGGAGCGGCTGTTGTGAAAACAGATGCGAAGGGAAGGAGCGCGGGAGTGAAGGAGGGAGAAAAAGAGAGGGGAGGGGAGGAAAGAGAGGAAAGGTGGGATGAAGGTTTTAGCTGGCTAATCACTAGTTAGATAATACCCAAAACAGACATTCATGAAGGAAAAACAAAACAATACGCATGCAAACACACCAACAAAAAACGACCGATAACAATTATTCAAACAGACTGAAACACATGAAGGTATTTGCGTCACATGTCATGTAGTAATGACTTCAGGGTGCAGTAATAACAGCAGCCAGCTGCTGTGAACTAGAACTGAGCATCAATATTTGCCCGGTGTTATGGAAAGCAGATGCATCGACAATGGGCATAAAACGGAGTTAGCCATCAGCAAACATAATTAACCGACACGAAGGCTGGTACTACAGCGAACCAGAAGCTATTACGACGCTCGTATCATGAGCAGACGGATAAATTGACTGCAGATTGCTTTTTACAATATTTCAACATGCCTTTTGTCCCGTACGTGCGCTCCCCGCCACCCAATGCACTGATTCCCTCCCCTTTCTGCAGCATTAGGTGTGTCGGACGATCGCTATCGCCGCCGCCATTTTAGCGCCTCTCATATCCGGCCATCATAGTGCCAAGCCATATGGTGAAATCGATTCCCGGGAGCATTCTAATCAGAGCCGGCCAAAAGCCTGATTAAGCGATGACGGGAGTGCCGGTAACCCGGGACCAGCCGGTTCCGATCACAGAGCAGATCTGACCGTCACACACCGTTCCCTAGAAACAAGTTCAACTTCTCAGCGTGTGTATAATACAGTAGTATACCCAAGCTGAAAACTTGAACTTCTTTCTAAGGGACGTGGAACGGTTCCCTGACTTTCTGTCCAGCCCCGTCCCGCTTCCGCAGGTTCTCCTATCCAGAGCCACAGTTTTCCTCTGAGTCCACCACTCGGCGCGCTGCCAGCCAGCTCGAGAGTAAAAAAGACGCACAGCCGCGGACGGCGCCGACCCGTGAGCTGGCCAACGGAGCCGATTACCTGCGCGGAACGCGGCCACTAAATACCGGCCGGCGGCCGAAACGGCCGTTTGGAGATGTTTATAAAGCTCGCGGCCAGAACGGCCCGTCCGATGGCGGCATCATAAAACGGCCGGACAATTAGGACTGGTGGGAGCAGCTAAGCCACAATTAGTGGCCGGGGCGGTTGTGTGCGCGGATGGCGGAGGCGGAGGGGGGGGGGGGTGGAGTCGTCCGTCCAGTAGCATCGCTCACCGGAACGGCACACAGCTCACGGGCGGCCAAAGGTCAACAGCACCACTGGCAACGATGGCCGTCAGTCGCCGCAGACCTCTGTTTGGACTAGATAAAATTGCCTGTAGATGAGGCCACTAACGTCCGCTGCCGTCTCGGTGGTTTAAAACGGGACTCGTTAATAACCCGCAGACTTGGCTTTAAATTCAGTTCATTTCAAAGACATGTGTGACAGGATATGTGACACGCACATACAATGAGAGACATGTGGCTTATAGGTATTATAACTGCAAAATAATTAAATGATAAAAGCCTGGAGCTAGCCAGTCGACCAAGCCCAGTTTTGGAACGGTTTTGGTGGCTTTCTCTATAGGCCGAAAGACTATACGATTGCGCTCGTCTACATCAAATTTAAAATAACCTTATCATTTATATACATACCTGCACACTTACATTATACATACTACATCTATATACATACATAACTACATCAAGTAAATACAGAAGCACAAGACAGGCATAAAACACATTTTTTATTTATTTTAAACAAGTGATCGAACTTTTAATAACTATAGGTATTTTGAAGCTGGTGATGACATCCTATGCAGCATATCCGGCGTTCTTAGACCCCATCCGACCACTGCGGCACAATGTCCCGTGAAAGTCAACAGCGGCGAACAAAGTTCAGTCACCACCTCTCGGTCGCCCGGCTTACCAACTCTACAGCGGAGACTGCAGTCATTTTAGGCTAAGTATTTCAACAAAAGCAACAAAGTTGCGCCTGTTATGAAGCTCTTATCTTGCGAACTTGCTAATGATGGCCAGCCTGCCGCGTTTCGTTGACCTTGATAGCAAAGCTTCAGTTTAAGTTCGGAGTAGTGACAGGATTCATAACATTTTATCATACCTCTACCATATTTGCTTCATATGATCAGAAGAAATCGGATCGGCCAAGGCAAGTAGGACTAAGTGAAAATGATACAAGTATATATAAAAATAAAAAATATCTGAATTAGGTATAGTTTACCAGATCCTCATCCACAAAAAATAGTTCTTCTTATGAATAAGTATATCCTTATCCATAATAGCCGTTTCACGAAGATTAGGTATCTGGCACACATTTGGTTCACATTTGGTGCAGATTTGGTCAAATCGGGTTCATTGTGTTTCATAGAAGTTGTCAGCGCAGTTGCTTATATTCCTGCTTTTACAAATTATCATAGATTTTTTTTTTCATTAAACTGAAATAAAATCATAATATGAAGATATTTGTCGTAAAATAATTTGGTGAGGCCTGCTTTAGCTTGGAGTCCGGCTCTGCCAATGGGGATGTTCGGCTTATTTCCTCGCCAGGTGGCAGCACTGCCTTCTTTGGACACAGAAACTGTGGCGGCGAATGCGCCAATGTGTTTTGCACTGTGTGGAGTCCGTGCGGTGTCGGTCCGAGGGGCTGAATTTCGGTAAATTTGATAGCAATTGATTTGAATTTTGCTCAGATGGGTTGTGAATTTATATTCAGCAAGTGTCACAAACATGGAAAGGCAAGTTTACAAAGGACAGGAGACTTAGAAAGGCTTCAATTGACGTAGCCGAAGAGAGGCGAGAAGCCGAAGATAGACCGACTCCAAACGGTAATTCCATGGATGTAACACGTTTCCAGACATTTTTTTTTATGGCGAACTTAACTAAGAGTATAAAATAGTCTAGCTTAACTCATAGCTGGATCTTGTATTGCCCATATGAGGTAATTTACCTGTATAAGTTTATGGGCATATCAATATAGGAAATTGACCTGCCCTTGAGAAAGGCATTAAAAGATGTTACATGCTGCTGAGAATGATTATATAAATTCAATGCATTTTTATAAGATTCATTGCAAGCATTTTAGCAGTGTTCTACTTTGTCTGGTACCAAAGATATTGCATGCAGATAAAGGTTATGATGGTAAAAGACAAATTGAAATAGGATCTATTTTGACACCAGCAACCAGGAGGTATATGTAATAGAACACTAAGCTACCTACTATTTATGAATTGTTACAAATATTGATCATCCTACGTGGTGTTACAGATGCCCAGTGCAATCATGCTTCTGGTGCGGAGATGTCAGGATGGAGTCCGAGGAATCAAAGAAGGCAGAGGACCTGCGTATGAAGGAACCAGCCCTGCGGATGAAGTTCTGAGGTGCATACAGAGGGATCCCACTGAAAGACCAGGTAGGAGTTGGTGAACAGCTTGTGCACTGCAGTATATCATCCAGAAGTAACTGATAGCCTTTCTTGCAAAATGTTTTTTTAACTCATCACCCGTCTAAAGCTACTTATTATTGATATAATATCTTCATTTTATCAGGTAAATAATTGTTTACTCTAATTTTTGATTCACACTGAAGTGAACACTATTTTAGAATATTCACTCAGCTTTTTAGCAACTAAATACGGGCATGTTTTTTGTTGTTTTTTAAAATAAATTTTCACCTTCTAGAATATTTGTATAGGTAACTGCAATAAAAGTGCATTTCAAAATTGCAAATACTTTGTGTAAAGTTCATGGGTCTTGATGATGTCACTGTATCCAGTTCATCATATCAGATTTCAACTGTGCTTAAACTGCAATGTTTTGCTAATTGCTTCAGTATATAATGTCCTTTTATCCATGCATGTTAAACATACGTATCTCATTATGCCTTGTCAAGATATTTCCCCACTGTCATATGCCATTTTTCATTTATTCACAGGTGCAATGCTGCATTGATAAGATCCAGATTCAAGAGCATGGATGCTACCAAATCCTGTGATTTGAAGTTACCAGTGTCACTGCTGCTACAAATGACATCAGCAACACTTCCTTTGGTGAAAGTTTAGAGGAGCAAACAGTTGATGCTCTGTGTAGTCAAGCAGTGGAGTTTTGCCACAATCATGAAGCTGATTAAGGTGTCAATTTTTTGCTCTGGCTTCTGGGACACCTTGGATCTACATTGCAACCTATGCTAGTGTTCACAATTTCGTGTCATAGTATCACTGATGCAAAGTGTGTTGCATCATACGCAAATGAGAGCTAACAAATTGTCAGATATTTTCTAGTGATGAGAACTGAATGCCTTAAGCAATTGTTGAAGGTGATAAGTGGTGAATGGTAGGGCTCAGCCACTCAGCTCCTTCCTTCAAAAGCTATCAATCAGCTCTAGAAGAGTAGTCATAGCAATGTTTCATATGTGAAGGCTACTTGCCTGAACAGAACATTGTGGATTTGTTAATTAAGTACCTCTTTATGACAAGTTTGTGCCCATTACAAGCCAAGCTTAGTTTACTTAGTTTGTTGTAAGTTTTCCAGGCAGCCTTCACACTTGTGTCGCTGAATATTAAACTTTAACTGATAGACCGACGAGATATTGTCCCTCATCAGATTTTAATCAGTCAGTCGTGTTGGTAGAAGGTACATCTGTCTTAAAAGTACCGCGGAAAGTGACGGTGGATCCATCAAGCCTGACCGAGGATGTCTATATAGAGCCACGCAGAAATGGCCGGTGATTCGTTGCCCATCATTACAGAATGAACGCATGCCGGATGAAGGGTTAAGTTAAGTCAATAGTCTACAAACTACAGGGATGTGATTGACTTATCTGACAGTGACGAGCGCTAGAGGTCAACTTAAGTCCGTAGGTATGCGTTCTTGTCATGGAATGTGTGCTGTAAATCGATTGTTTCATGCGTGTGAATATATGTCTGAATGTAATAGGGTTTTTAATTTCAACTGTGTAAGTTAAAATATGTGATAACATCGTATCTTTCGTACTCCGTAGCTTTTGGTGACCATTCGATCAGCTCCCTTTCATTCCGCTCAATGACGATGTAGTAGTTTGCCTTTCACACGCGTCATTGTCTTCGTAATATCGAAATCATCTGTAGCTACTCATTTTAGCAAAATGATGAACCTGAAAAAGACATGAAACGCAGTTTCCGTTCGCGGCGCGTCGGCCGCCGTCGCCGCCCGCAGTGTTATCCCCGGCCCGGCCGGCGCCCGGCCGGCGCGTTGTGTCCAAAGCATACCGTGCTGCCACCTGGCGAGACTTTTCGGAACTCTTAGCGCGAACATCCCCATTCATTCATTCACATATTTGAGCTAAATAAAATAAAGAAAAAAAATGCTGAAAACGGAGAAATAAGTATGGTCGTATAAGCAATACAGATATCCCGCGCCCTGGTGGGGTCTGTTTATAACGCGACCTGGTGGGGGGGGGGGCTATTTTTTGCCCCCCCCCCCCCTCGTATCTCCGAAACTACTGGACGGATCCGCAAAATTCAAACGGCGTTCGAAAGGCCTGTCAAATTTGTCGAAGGAAACCAAATTTCATTGACCTCGGGGTCACCGATGACGTCACAGGTCAGGTCAAAGATGAAATGTTTCACCGTTCACGGGTCTTCTAGGGAATGCAATATAACACCGAGGAAAACGCATTTTGTCGAGAATCAGCGGTAGGGCGTCAGTTGCCTAGTAGATATGTTGCTATTAGAGGTCACTGGCAATACCAGGTCAGGTCACAGGTCAGGTCACCAAGGGTCACAGGTCAGGTCACATGAGCCCAAGTTTACTAAGGTTGTGTGATGCATCTTTTATGGCCAATTTTTCATTTCCAACTCAATGGTGTTGGTTATATGACTATCAGGTACGGCTTAGGTCACTTTCTGGTGAAGTTCAGGTCAAGGTCAGGTCAAGGTCAGGCCAAAAAAGGTCAAATTTCAAAGTTGATAGTTTTGCATAAAATGGGTATTGATTCGATGCAGCTCGTCACGGGGAGTCTAATGGTGGTCTTTGTTTTGCGCTACGGGGTCTAAAATTGCTAAAAATTGAGTTTGAAAATTTGACGTCATCAATTTTGAACAGTTTTTTCGCTATAACTTCGCCAAAAAAAGAGGTATCAATCTCAAATTTGGTATGTGGATGGAAGGCGGTAAGGACTATCACATATATTCCGGTTTTTGCGAAATTCAAAAAACTTTTTGGATTTTTCGATTCTTATATCCAAAAAATCTATTTTTTGATTTTTGGGGGTCCAAATCCAAAAATTTCAAAAATCCGAGATAGCAGTTTTGTAACCCTGTCCAATCTACAGCTTTTATGTCTTTATCATTTTTCTGTATTTGCAAAGCTATGGGCCTGACAGCTCTTCCCGCGAAACCCTTTTTTGGGTCGAAAACGGCAGAACATGACGTCACTCTGACGTCATTTCCGGCCAACCTATCATAGCCTTTGGAAAAATTTTTGGTCACAATGTGTAAAATTGATGTCCGGGAGGGTACTGAAAGTTTGGTGACGATCGGCGCAGCGGTTCTGGAGATATATCGAAAAGTCTGGAGGGGGGGAGCAAAAAATAGCCCCCCCCCTCCCACCAGGGCGCGGGATATACATGAAATGACAAGAGTGAACTAGCAAAATAACGTATCAAACTCCTTGCAAGTGGGCCCAAATCGATTTTATGCGTTCCGAGACAGTTCAGTGCCGAGTTAGATTTTACTAGGATCGGAGACGGTGTTCCAGCCCAGGGTTGTATACGACTCAGTCAATAGCAATCAATTCAATCACGACAAATTTGGGAAACCAATCAAATCAATCAAGTCAGAGCAGTTTTCGGGAATTGATTCAATCGACTCAAACGCGACAATGAAAGGAATCAATCAACTCAATCAAACGACTCAAACCAAGACATACATTAGGCCCACCAACTTGGAAAAGTGTCCATAGCAGTCTGGTGTACCTACCTACCTACCTACCTACAGAAGAAACATAAAAATATTGTCATTTAAAATTATAAATTGCCATGCCATTCAAAGTTTTATGTAATAAGGAAGGATGCCTAGTGATGGACAGGTGGATCATGATATTGAGGTTCAATGGGTAGATTGGAGCAGAAGTTTCATTTAATGGGTGCAAAATAACCCAGTAGTTGACTTGCCCCTTAACCAAAATCACCACCTTTCACCTAAAAGTTGTCAATTTAATTTTGGCCATATTCCAACTCCATTTACACTAAATATGAGATATTGCAGTTGAAAGTTGGCTGCTCGGATTTTGGCAGTGTTCGTGATTTGGCCATTTACCCTACACCATGTCTATTTCAATGGATTATATGCATCAATAACATATTAACCATAGGGAAATAGAAATAAATATCTTACCTGTATGTGACGGTTTTGGTTAGACAGAGACTGACGGGCAGCCTGAAAAATCTTTCCACACAATGTGCATTTGAGACGTGGGATGTTGTCAGATTGGGAAGGAAGAGATTTGAAGTATTTAGCGGTCCACGACTCTGGACGTGGCATGTCAATGTTAGGTACCTATGTGAAGAATTCAAAACATTTGTGTTTGAATTTTATTGCAATACAATTTGAAACTGTTAGGACTGGGGGATAGGGATGAGGGTTAAAAAATATATTTAAAAGGAAATGGAGAGGACAGGAACTCTGGAACCACAGTATAAGTTAAGGACAAAGGAAGTGGGAACGAGGAAAATTAAAACGCGAAAACGGGGAAAACGGCACGGTGCGACTGCATGAAAACGTTTTGCCAATAAGTATGCTAAGCTTTTATAAATCCTTATTCTACGTCTTTTGATTTTTTGGTAAGATGACGTCATTGATTATCATGTAGTATGGTAGATCATCATAAAATAAATCGGTTATACAACACCAATTTCGTTTTAGTTATTATTTTATTTGAAATAAAACCACTTAATAATATTCGGTAAAATATTTCAAGGAAAATGAAATATATTAAATATGTTATGCTTAGGCTCACAGGAGAAAAGGATCAACAAACGTTCTGCTGCAAATTAAACAATGCAGCAAATTAGCTATTAATTAGGCAAGTAAACGTAAATAGCGAGACGAAAACGGCGCTTTTGTTTCAGTTATTTTTTGTAGGGGTTTCAGATATTATAGAGTTCAGTGGGTTGTTTCTGAGGAGATGTGGAGATGTGAGTTATTAATTAATCACACTTTATTAGTATATAGGGCCTTGCACTTTATCATCTGGATTAGAAAAAACGTTTCCTGCTGAGTGCAGAAAGGTAGGTAGGTGCATCGCCAGGTTCTATCACCAGGATTGGTGCAGTTATTGCAGTTGAAAGTCAAAGCTGGCTGTTCATGTTTAGGCCCTGTTCTTTATTTGGCCATCTACCCCATATTGCAGTTGTGATGACAAGCAGTTTTCAGTGTAGTTTTGTGATCTTTGATGTCATCAATTGGTGTCATTATTTTTCGTCAACTAAAAGTTATTTGAACTCTCCTTTCAATCGACTCAATCATACGAGTCACTCTAATTTTCAGGAATCAAATCAGTCAACCAGTCGCTAAAGTCAAACGAGTCAGTCAACCAGTCATCTCGAAAAGTCAATCGACTCAATCCAATCAACTCAAAATACGCGTTGAAACAAATCAATCAATTCAATCGACTTGATTGGTATACAACCCTGTTCCAGCCAAGTGCACGCCGCACGTGGTTCGACGTTATAGCCAGCCCCATAATGTGTGTTCCACACCGACGACTAAGTGCTAGTGCGGAACATATCAGACTTCCAGCCGCGTGCACGGTTAAATGACTGCCAGGCCCTGAATCAGTTTCGTATTTATTTGTAGGTTTATGAGTCCCGGGTACGATGACGGCGTTCTCAGGGCAGGAAACCGTGTCCACTGGGGACAAATAAGAAAATCACCGTCCAAGTCCCTTGGGAGATTCTTCTTACGGTCCAAAGTGCCAAAAAAAAAACTGTGTGAAGAATGAAGATAGCGAGAATCTTTGATGGACACTTCCAGTACCAAATGGACGATTCTTGTTAGCTGCATGAAATTCATCACATTTATCTTATCAATATCACCGATGTTTTCCAAAACAATACCTTCAAACAATTCTGCTGACTCAGGTTTCAGAGGGCGTTTTTGTGCAAGGATGGCTGGCGACAAGATCGCCTTACCTTTGCTGGAATCCGAAAACCGTGTTGCGGTCGAGAGGAGTCCGGGGTCACTGGGGCCACTCCGAGGTCACTGGGGTCACTGAGAGTCACTGGGGGTCACTTAATCCTTTGCCGCCACCACCGTAGCGTCTGCCTATCTCTATGGGATCCCTCGATCACTGTTCCGCCGCGCCTCAGCATGGTGCCATGCCGTTCATCTAGATCTGGAGACCCAGTCTCCGATTGCTCCCAGATGACAGCCCCTCCAAGGCGCACTCGTCACTGATCACTTCTTGGCGTGCAGCCTATTGTTTCAGCCTTTCACTCCTCGGCAAAGCCTGAGGCTGTGCGCGCACTGAACTACCGCCCGGCGGAAACGAGGCACTGCACGAGCAGCACCACCGTCACCACCGTCACAATCACCAGCGGCGGCGGCAGGCTCGGTGCCGTGCCCACCTGTTCGGCGGCGGCGGGCGCCGGTACTGCTCCGGCCACCCAGCCGCCCTTCGCGCCGCGCCGCTCGTCGGTGGTAGCCGCGCTCCACAGGTGGCTGCGGCCGCCGGGCTGCCGCTGTTGCAGCTCGCAGCGGGGCGGGGCACCCGGCACCCGACCGATAATGGTCACCAGGTAAACAGAACGACGCCCGCGCCCCACCGATCTCGGCTAGGCTGCTGAGCAGAGTCGGTGAACTGCGCGGCCGACTCGCAGGCACCGAGAGAGCTGCGCGAACGGACAACGGTACTGCGACCTGGACGGAATTACAGCGGAGCCCGGACAAAATCACAGCGGCAACCGGACAATATCGACGGCGGAGCCCGGACTGGAAATACTGGATGTAAGGGCCTTGGGCTGTGGTTCAACGTTTTATTGTGGTGACTTGCATTCATTAGACGTGTTTTGTCAGGCTTGGTTGGTATGGAAGGCCTCGTTGATGCCGCTCAAGCATTTAAATTTGGAGTTTTGTATACCTGCACCAAGCGTGCATTATACAACTGTGATAGCCAATAGCAAAGCATCGGCATAGTACAGCCAAAAAGTAAAACGCAATGTCAACTGTTACCGGCTGATCTTCCTGTTCCAGTGCACCTGTAGCACCTCAGTCAAGAGCCTGCTGTTGGGCGGCGGTCCGGCCTGTTCCGGCGGGCACGGGAGTGCTGCGGGACAGCCTGCCACCGCAGGCAGTCTCGGCCGGAGCGCCGCTCGCCACTGCACTCGGGGCCGCAGCGGCCGCGAGAATCAGGAAACATGCTTCGCAGTTCTGGCCTTAGCAGGGTTCGCTAGTGGACCCCGCTATTAATGGTCATCAAAGTCAGTAATCACTACATTTACCTACCAATGAGGAACAAATGAATTATTCCGTAGGAAAGAAATGATGGTATAGGTAAGAGCGACGAATAATTTCCCATCAATGTCTTGCACCTTTACTGAATAAGAATATAATCATTGTCAAGGGAAGTATTGGAAGTTAAAAGGGACTATTTTTCAATCAAAACACGACTTATAAGCTAGTGACTCATTCCAACATGATTTAATCTGTAGGTACACCGAATTGTTCAAATCACATCCCACCTACTCTCTATCCTCAGCCTCGCTCCGACCGAGCTTATAGATCGGGGAGCACCCGTACGTACACCGCTTCTCCCGGTCCGGGGGTCTTCCCCTGCCCCGCCAAGCCGAGTCCGGTCGGGCCGAGCTCCCCGGTACCGACACGGGAAGTTCCTCGAACAGATCACTGTGGGACCGGCGACCGAGCCACGTGCGACTGTGTGTACCCGCCGAGAGCTGGAGCTCCGGGTTCGATCGGGTCAACGCCCGCGGATCAGAGATCTGTACCCGGTAGCCGCCCTCCGCTGGAGAATAATGCATATATCTGCATAGAAGGCCACCCGTCACAAATTCTCAGACTGCCGTCTGAAGTAAGGGTATCCCAGAGGCGACTCCAAACGTCATAGCTGGGATGCTTTTAGAATGCGAGCGGCATACATCAGTGAATGCATCTCAGTAGGAATGAATGAATGCATGCTCATATCTGAAAGAGATGGCTTGTCTATCAGACATGCGTTTTGTAGTATCGCGGGAGATGTCGGGATGGGTTGTGCAGAGGCGATGCATGACGAATTTCATGCTGTATACCTAATGTGTGTGTTCAATCCAGCTTTGTTCACTTGCATTGTAATTATAATTGTATCGGTGTCCGGTGACCGGTTATGTCCAAATCCCGTGACTCGGCCGGTGTGGCAGTAAATTACAGTCCCTTTCGACTGCGATATGGTCCGGTTATAAATAGCGCTACCCAATGGTGGGACTGGCCGCCCGGCTGGCCAGCTCAGAGGAGAGGGAGGGCCCCGCGGTGGCGCGCCGGCCGGCCCGAGGGGACGGAGCACACTCGATTGACCGGACCGGAAATAAGACATCGATACAGCCCCGTTTCAGTTCAGCTAAATGGACGGGGAAACCACTCAAACTGCCGATAGACGTCCGCCAACAACTGCGCCGGGAAGTTTTTGTCAGGCATTCCGATCGTCATGTGGCGATAAGTGGATAAAGGTCGAGCATGGACGTCGAAAGTAACTTCAAAGCCGCTACCATAAAAAACATGGACCAGCCACGAGACGGTCGGCGTGTGATCGGCACAAGAAATTGTCTTATGACTGCAGCTGCTCGTATTTCATTCGAAGACATGTCGCCAAACTCCAACGTGATAAGCAGATATGTAATTCAGGTACGAATAAGTAAAGCTTCTGCCCGAGCTCCTCGGTTCATGATTGTAGTGCTGTCGAGTGAGACACTCCTTCTTTCCAAGTTGCTCCTAGCACCTTCAGAATAAAGTTCGCCTTCGATTCTAGTTCGCAGCCCGCGCCACAATACCCAGGTCGGCCATTCATTTTCATAAACCGACGTCTGCGCTTTGTGCCGCGTTTATCGCCTCACAAAAGAGGCCACATCAGCGCCGGCGCTCAGCAGCATAGAACAGCGGAGCCTGAGTTCATTTATTTCCCACATTCACATTACCTGATTGCGAACTGGCGTCGGCAGTGCGAACTCATTACTAACGAAAAATGAGAACAGAGCATTTCCCTACCACAAACACAAATAATATTGCACTTAAAATAAGCACATCTGGTCTATATTGCACAATACAGGGGTGGGCAGATAAATTGGGACAAATTTCAACTTCCTCTAAAACGACTATTTTTTGAGTGATAAAGATAATTTTTGAACATAAATATAGGCTTATGAATACGTTTCCACGTTATGCAGGTTGCGTTATAGTTTTGAGTTGGCTGGTCACAGAACGTGGGCTTAAGCAAGCCACTATCAACTTAGTCCGCGCGCACATGCATGCCAATACTCTAATTATGCTCCATCAAATGGCTGGAAGTAGTGTGTATCGAACAGACGTAAACGTTGGAGGAAGAGATAATATTGACTCATCCTTACATCCCTATTGCATTGACACCGGCCGCTCCCCCGGTTTTCCAGGGGGGCTAAAAGGCAAAATTCAGTTAAATCAGAGGATCCTCGCGAATTCAGTGGCGCGAGCTTACAACGAAGGTAGCCGCGCCATGAGAAAGCGATATACCAGCACCTCAAACATGTACTCTTATGCATTGATGCATATCAACCTGTCAACATAGATGTTGAAGCAGCTGTGACGTAAAAAAGATTGTTTCCTCTTGAAGGGCTTGGAGAAGCAAGCAAGCACGTGCAGGTCTTTTTTGGACGATGGTATCCCCATAACCGAATATATGAACAACCGCAAACACCATGTAACATCGCAACCAGCCCAGAAGACGTTATCTTAGTTCCAAAAAGCATGCAGCAGACATCGGTGATGGCATTCTACTCGGTGACTTCTGACGGTCACGTAAGGGCCCCCTTATTTTACGGAATCGGGAGGGGGTTCGCCATTACAGGGTACCTAACCATTATTCCGGCAGTTCGAATCAACAAGATGGAAGAAGGCAACATCCTGCATGGAGTGATGCTCTTCTCGGAGTCAGCTCCCCGGCATACAGTAAATTAAATACAAAATCTCCTGAAACGGAGGATCCCGCAAACTGTACCCAAGGGAAAATACCCCCTTCTTCATTAAACCTCAGCCCACACAAGTTCTGGTTGCTGGGGCGTTTTTGCGGGTGAGTCTAACGAACGTCCCCATGTGACTGTGGTGAGCCTCAGCAGTGCCAGTTGGCTACAATTACAAGCCATTTCAGACGGGAGATTTCGCCACGCGTGCGGCCAGTCCAGGCACCGATAAGGACTGATGCAGGTGGACCACGGTGACCATAGTTGGTGATAATTGTGTAAAATTGGTGTGACAATATGTGATCCAAATTTGAAATGCCTATGTTTACAAATTTCTAAGGTACGGCGTTCTAAATGCAAATATGTATTTTGTCCCAATTTATCTGCCCAACCCTGTACATGAATGTTTCCCAGTTAGTTTTATAAATCAACTCAGCTGAATAGGACAAAAATGGGGCACTACTGCACAAGCCAGCAGCAGTCCCGTCTACCGCCACACGTAGGTACAATAATAGCACACCTTCATTAATGCCACTAGCGTCTATAAATGGCCGCGTCGTGATTAGTTGGTTTTCTAGGAAGGTACCATCGCAAATCTCTTACCCTCTTATTAGTGATAATACTTTAATGAACAAGTCCCTCAGAAACTGTGATGAAACTACCATCTCTAAGATATTGAAGGGGAAATGCACGAAAAGTGATTTTTAGCGATGAATATAAATGTATATGTTAAGTATTATTCCCGTATAGATTTCCGCATTACTTGCTACATCGCATCTAATCCCACCCAAGGTATAAAATCACGTCATATCCTAGGACCTGAATATTACTAAGTACTTTATTTTCTAAGCTCTTTACTCCCTGGCCCCGACAGGCGTATAGAGTCGTACTCCTCACAGCGGGGAATGTGCAGAAACACAACAAACACGTCCTGCCTACAGATAGCCAGAGTGAAGTGAAGGCACCACGAGCGCGTTACTGGCAGCTAGACCGGCGCGTCCCCAATGCCTACCCGTCCGCCCGCCCGTCCGTCTGGCCGTCCGTCCGTCTGACGCGCTCGGCTGATGGCATTTCTGTGTCACATTACCTGTCGAGCCAGTGATAATCAGCCTAGCCGCCGCGCCGCGCCGGGGGACGAGCCTAGGAGCGCGTCACGTGCACGATGTAGCCCTTGTTCTTGATGACGCCCTTGTGTTGTACCATGACGAGGTAGCGCAGGGACCAGACGAGCGACCAGCGCTGCGGCTCGGCCAAGGCCAGGTGTTTGGAGAGCAGCGGCCGGAGCACGGCGCCCGGCAGCACCTCTGTGGGGGGGGGGGGGACAGTTAGAGCAGCGGCCGGAGCACGGCCCCCGGCAGCACCTCTGTGGGGGGGGGGGGACAGTTAGAGCAGCGGCCGGAGCACGGCCCCCGGCAGCACCTCTGTGGGGGGGGGGGGGGACAGTTAGAGCAGCGGCCGGAGCACGGCGCCCGGCAGCACCTCTGTGGGGGGGGGGGGACAGTTAGAGCAGCGGCCGGAGCACGGCCCCCGGCAGCACCTCTGTGGGGGGGGGGGGGACAGTTAGAGCAGCGGCCGGAGCACGGCGCCCGGCAGCACCTCTGTGGGGGGGGGGGGGACAGTTAGAGCAGCGGCCGGAGCACGGCCCCCGGCAGCACCTCTGTGGGGGGGGGGGACAGTTAGAGCAGCGGACGGAGCACGGCCCCCGGCAGCACCTCTGTGGGGGGGGGGGGGACAGTTAGAGCAGCGGCCGGAGCACGGCCCCCGGCAGCACCTCTGTGGGGGGGGGGGGGGACAGTTAGAGCAGCGGCCGGAGCACGGCGCCCGGCAGCACCTCTGTGGGGGGGGGGGGGACAGTTAGAGCAGCGGCCGGAGCACGGCGCCCGGCAGCACCTCTTTGGGGGGGGGGGGGGCAGTTAGAGCAGCGGCCGGAGCACGGCGCCCGGCAGCACCTCTGTGGGGGGGGGGGGCAGTTAGAGCAGCGGCCGGAGCACGGCGCCCGGCAGCAACTTTGAGGGGGGAGGGGGGGGGGCAGTTAGAGCAGCGGTCGGAGCCCGGCGCCCATGAGCACCTCTGAAAGGAGGAGAGGGGGGGGGGCGTCAGGGCAGGGGCGACAGTCGGGGGGGGATGAGTTAGAGCAGCGGCCGGAGCACGGCGCCACCTCTGTGTGTGTTGGGGGGGGGGGGGGGGACGGGGGGAGGGTCAGAACTCAGAGCAGGTGTCACGGCGAGCCAGAGTCAGAGCAGGGGTTGGGGACATGGGGTAGAAGAAGTGGTAAGGGGAAATAAGGGGGCGATAATGGATAGGAGTTGAGTGAGACATTGGTAGTAACGTAGCATATCACAGTACACTGCACTGGCATTATCTAAACTTGACGCGCCCTAGTATAGCTCCAGGTTACATGCTAAAATGCTCAACACATGATGAAAATAAAATTGTCCGCTCGGTTTCGAGGTTCCGGAAAATCAGCAGCTTGAGATAGGTTACGTCACTTTACCACTGTTCACAATCAGATGTTAAGCAGGCAGTTGTGCCTATATCATCCCACCACACCAGTAGGTATATCAGTGTGACAGCACTCCCCTGATAAAAAACAAACACAGTGACCCGACTCCACTAGACAAACGTCTGCCAATCACCCGTGGCAGCTCGACCTAACAAGGAGCGACTGCCAACAATCACCGCTCTGACGCCGTACGAGCGGTCCGGTCTAGCCGAGTCACCGTGTCTCGGCGCTTTCAGAGGCCCCCGCCGCCCTGACTGGTGCTGTCCCTTCCCTGCACCGTCACCCTTGCTAACGATGGTCGCACAATGTCATCGTGACTGTTAACGGCACACTGGTGAAGTGAGAACTCTCGTAGCTAGCGCCTGCTTCTGTCGCCGAGAAAGGCGCAGATGAATTGCAGTACCCTTGCCTTAGGTGCCTACGCAAACGCAAATAAGTCGTATCGGGCCTTTGCTCGCGAAGAGACCCATCTTTTTACTGAGAATCACTAGGATGCTAATCTTATCAATGACTTTTAGGCTACTTGGCTCTTATAGTGGCTCTTATAGTGTCCGTTTGAATAGAGTTCCTTCATCAGTCCTCTTCCCAATGCTGCATGCATGTAATAAATGTTGACCTAGTGACGTGACCAGAATATTTGTTTAGCCTGTTTTTGACTGTTGTAAAAGAGTGACGAAGGCCACAACTGATGGCGATCGCACCACCCGCCCATCTGTTGACATTGAGCCCTAATTGTTTGCGGGAGTTGGCACGTAAGCTCGCGTGTCACCCTCTCCGCCGGCGCCAGTCCCCCGCCGAGACTATCACCTTGTGCGTCGTTGTGTGTCAGGATCTGGACGTCCCGCTGCCGGCAGAAGTCGCGCAGGTCGTCCGGCACCGAGCAGCAGTTGGTGAGGTTGATCTGGAGCAGGGACGGCTTCACCTCCACCTGTCAGGGGGAGGGGGGGGGGGGGCGTCAGGGGCAGCCCGCTGGCGGCGTCCAATCAGAAAGGTAGAAATTGATGCCTAAATACGCAGCATAACAATAATATCTGCAGTCATTAGCGACGTAATTTTTGCTAACAAAGGAGGGTTAATGGTTGACACCGAATTCGCTAGCCACCCAGTCTGTCGTTTGGTAGACCAATGTTTAAGTAACTGCCATAAGCCCAGTGCCGCCGAACCAGGACGCCGCGGTACTGACCTGATCACACTGGCAGATGGCCTCGAACAGTGACTGCTCCACGTCCGCCAGGCCCAGGTAGGCCACCTTCTGCTGCGCGTGGAACTGTTCCAGCACCCGCCAGAGGGGCAGCAGCTGCTCCAGCGTCATCTCCTCCCAGGGCAGCGGGTTGGACAGCACGATCGCCTCCACCTGCTTCACCGACAGCTCCGTCAGAGCTGCCGGATATAGAGAGGGGACAGACACGGTCAGAGCTGCCGGATACAGAGAGGGGACGGACACGGTCAGAGCTGCCGGATATAGAGAGGGGACAGACACGGTCAGAGCTGCCGGATACAGAGAGGGGACGGACACGGTCAGAGCTGCCGGATATAGAGAGGGGACGGACACGGTCAGAGCTGCCGGATACAGAAGGAGACGGCCACAGTCAGTGGTGTCAGATACTGAAAGGAATGGACACGGTCAGAGCTACCGCTTACACACACGAAGTCAGTGAGCTGTGAGGTGATGGGACAGCTGAAGACCGGGCACCGTCAGAGCTGGGGGATACGCTTTACCGAGTCGCTATATGAATCGAGATCAACATAAAATTGTCGATCCGTGACAAAACAAAACCAAAACTGATCCATCTAACAGAAATCGCACAAATGTGTCTTATGTGTCTGGGCTTCCCACTGTCATAACCATTCGTCATTGACAAGCGTGCGGTTTGTGAACGCCGAAGCTCATTGCCGCCACCCCGCGGGTCACATTACCCCCTCTCCCAGCCCCAGTCCGCACAGTGTACCTCGCTCGACGGCCTGTCGGACGGCGTCGGTGTCCAGCCCGACCGGGAACAGTTTGACGGTGATGCTCAGCGGCTCCCGCTCCTCCTCACCCAGACTGACGCTGTAGCACGCGCACGGCACTGCCATCTGGCGGGCAGGGACGGCAACTGACCGTCACATCGCTGCGCTGGCTGCACACATAGAGGCAGTGCCAAATAGAGGCATAGACAAATGGCGAGACAACTGGAGTGATTATTTGGCTATTTTCAGAGATCTGGGCTTTTCATAGGTGTTTGAGTCCCCCAACTTCTGCATGTGCTGATAAGTGGATATTTATCGCGATGGGTTAATGTTTATGACACTTCTATCATAGGTAAAACAAAAGGTTATCAATGATATAATCCAATGGCCATAGCTAAGCACTCCCGCATCCGTGTAGCCAAGCCGCCCAATTGGTTACAGCGGTGGGGGCTGGCTTACCACGACTGACGGCCGGTCCAGTTCGCCCTTCGCCGGGCGGATGATGTCAAGCATATGATCCAGTGAAGACATTAACTGAAAAGCAGCCAGGTACCTTGGTCATTATAGGAATGCAGAGTCAGCGCTTACCGAAACTGAGAAAACGTGAACATGGTCATTACTTAATAGGTAAACTCAGCTGGGCTGTCGAAAAAAGCAAGAAGCACTATAGTCACACTGATGCAGAATTACAGGAAACGTAAACAAACAGTGACAATGCATGTTGAACACAAAACCAGCACCACTCAGCATGACTGTCACATCACACACCACAGACAGCATGACAGCATGACAGCCAAAACTGGGCTCACCTCCTCTGTGGTACCCTGCCCGGCGCGGCGGCGCACCCCGCGCATCGAGATGACATTGCCCGTCGACATTGTGAGGTCGGTGCACGCCTCGCCCAGCGCCAGCGGCTCGCCCCGCGAACTACACGCGCTCTCGCCCGCACCACTCATGTTGATACTCTGCTAGTCTGTCAATGGGAGGAGAACGATGAGAAACGATGTGCACGTACAGAATTCCAGTGTCTCAGTTCCCCAAGACTATGTGAACACACTTAAGCTTCTAGCTTGATCTAGTTTGATAGGATGGCCTCATAGGTACCATCCAGGTCAATCTACTATGGAAGAAACCAATTAACACAAATAAGCTTTAATCAGCATGAGGCATGAGCAATAAGATAACCACGCTGAAATGAAAGATGAGACATCCCAGCCAGCAATCTGGTTTGGCTCAAGGCCCCGTTATGCCCCGGTAACTCTGACATGCCAGATTTGAGCCGCTGGGCGGTGACTGTCAACGGAACGCTGTCGGAACAAGGGGGTTGGGTCGATATGGCTCTATTCTGGCTAGCCATTCTTTGCCATGGCGCTCTGGGGTTGGCATGGTTTTGTACCACCAAGTATGGCTCAAGTCCGGCTCCCTGACACTGCGTGCTACGGCCAGGTCCGGCTGCCCTGTAGCTGCTCTGGCTGTGACTTACGTACAATTGAGGTATGCCACGGCTGATGCAGCATAAGTCCGGCTGTGGAGCGAGCAAGCCCTGGAATCGTGTCAGCTCCAGTAAAGCTCTAGGCCTTGCCCATACTTCGGCCAGAGTAAAGTGGCCCAGAGCTTGCCAGAGTGAAACCAGCTGCAGCCCAGGGCCCTGTTTCACCAGTGATAGCAGCACGCTGCTTTTACACGTGTCAAATTGGGTTTCCATGGAAACATCAACAGGCCCATTGCTCCAACACTACCACAAGTGTGACGTCAGCTCGCGCAATTTGATAGCAGCGTGGTAGCAGCGTCCCGTGAAACACCGCCCGGACCAATTTTGCTGGCTGAGATAATCCTGAATCATGATTATGCTAACAAAGAATTTTTTTATTTTACAATTTTAACAGATTAGATGAATGGGTGCCAGGTGGGGTTGAGTGTTGTGCCTGGGTACCACACTCATGGCTCAGCAGCACCGGTTGTGATTTGCGAATGATAGGTATTGCACACCCACCATCCACATGTGCCTACTGCCCAGACAGTGCCTAAACTGCATGCATTTTCACAGAAAATTTTAATTGAAGTTTAAATTTAAGTTTAAGTTTAGATTAATGGACTGTCATTAGACTAAGTCTATTCTTGCATCCATTTCATTTTGTCTTGTATCGAGTCTCCCTGTTGGGTAGCTTCAATGATTCAAGCATACGTAGACAAGCGGGAGTGTGGGATACTTTAAGCACTAAGCCAAGGTACAGAGTGCTTTTTTGTGCAGGGGTGACTGATGAAGTGCATGAAGACTGAAGTTTAACAAGTTGCAAGTAGAGGGCAGAGCACCATCCTCGACTCCTCCTGGGTCAAAATGTTGGTCGAACTGGATGTCCAATCCTGGCTGATATTATGAAGCAAAACAAAAGTAAAATTGGTGAAAATGGATCTTATTAACAGCAAAGTTATCAGTTAACACAAGACAGTTATGAATGCCAACAATAATCTGCGGTAAAATTACAGAATGAGAAAGAGTCCGATTCACTTTATCTGCATTAGTTTGCTCAAGATCTACTCTTGCTCTGATTGTCTAAAACCCCGTTTTTAGAGCTTCAATACGCGAAAATTGAAAAGCAACGCATGCATAAAGCGGATAGAGCCCCTCACGGTATATAGAGAACTGAGCCCCTCACCCTCCTCGTAACACTCTCCTCCGTGAATGACACCAAACGATACCACCAAGGCCCTATATACCAGGTAGGGTCGTCCGGCGATTCCAGGGCGGCGATTCTACCTTTTCGTGACGTCAGCTCGTGACGTCATTTGGAGTCAAGTCTCGAAGCCCCGTTCAATCCCCATGTAAATAAGCGATTTTCGAAGCACTGTAGAATGAAGTCTACATAAGATATATCAAACCTAAGTATCTTATCTGAAAGAGCAGACAATTTTCTGCAAGTTATCTATTACGTGTTTTTCGCTAAATCTTTTGCTTTTTTCACAAAAGCGTAAAATGTCCCCCCATGTCTCCGCAGCCTCCCTGCCGCCGGCCGCCGCGCGGTCGCGGTAGTGTAGTGGTTAGCGTGCCCGCGCAGTATTCCAAAGGTCCCGAGTTCGAATCTATGCGGTGCGGCACTTTAATTGCAATTCCAAGCTGAATATACGCACATCCATAATAAATTATTATTCGTATAGCTAAACTGTCACCAAGCTATCCATATAAATTGACTTCACCCAAAATATCGGCAACATTCTATTAAAATATAAATTCAAATATGGCGGCTTGGACTGCCGCGTGCGTTAGGCTCCGCCCATAGCTCCGCCCACATGCGTGACGTCATTCGTGTTAGTGGACACACGCGGAGATAGGGATGTAACGGAAGTTGGCACAGATTCAGCACAGATTCACCACAGCACAGATTCGGTAGGGGGAAAAAAGGCCCCGGTAGAGGGAAACCTTTATGACCCGTTTTCCCCTAGAAATGACGTCACAAAGAGGTAAAAATGGGTATCAATCGAAAGCTCTCGTTTACCCAGACACAGTCCTGCAGGAAAATTTCACTTTTCCCCCATAGGAAAGTTTGTACGGGAAAATCAAAATTTTGGGTCAATGGGGGGTCCCCCCCGATTTCGTTCAAAATCGGCACACAGGTGCCCCACCACCAGCCGAGAAACTTTCCCCAAAACGGTCCCCGTTGCATTGACGTTTAAGGCCCGTAAAGCCCCCTAGACTCGTAAAATATCCGTAAAATCGCCTTTGTACGGACAAAAAAGTGGTGCTATGGTAAAAATGGGTATCAATCGAAAGCTCTCGTTTACCCAGACACAGTCCTGCAGGAAAATTTCACTTTTTCCCCATAGGAAAGTTTGTACGGGAAAATCAAAATTTTGGGTCAATGGGGGGTCCCCCCCGATTTCGTTCAAAATCGGCACACAGGTGCCCCACCACCAGCCGAGAAACTTTCCCCAAAACGGTCCCCGTTGCATTGACGTTTAAGGCCCGTAAAGCCCCCTAGACTCGTAAAATATCCGTAAAATCGCCTTTGTACGGACAAAAAAGTGGTGCTATGGTAAAAATGGGTATCAATCGAAAGCTCTCGTTTACCCAGACACAGTCCTGCAGGAAAATTCCACTTTTTCCCCATAGGAAAGTTTGTACGGGAAAATCAAAATTTTGGGTCAATGGGGGGTCCCCCCCGATTTCGTTCAAAATCGGCACACAGGTGCCCCACCACCAGCCGAGAAACTTTCCCCAAAACGGTCCCCGTTGCATTGACGTTTAAGGCCCGTAAAGCCCCCTAGACTCGTAAAATATCCGTAAAATCGCCTTTGTACGGACAAAAAAGTGGTGCTATGGTAAAAATGGGTATCAATCGAAAGCTCTCGTTTACCCAGACACAGTCCTGCAGGAAAATTTCACTTTTTCCCCATAGGAAAGTTTGTACGGGAAAATCAAAATTTTGGGTCAATGGGGGTCCCCCCCCCGATTTCGTTCAAAATCGGCACACAGGTGCCCCACCACCAGCCGAGAAACTTTCCCCAAAACGATCCCCGTTGCATTGACGTTTAAGGCCCGTAAAGCCCCCTAGACTCGTAAAATATCCGTAAAATCGCCTTTGTACGGACAAAAAAGTGGTGCTATGGTAAAAATGGGTATCAATCGAAAGCTCTCGTTTACCCAGACACAGTCCTGCAGGAAAATTCCACTTTTTCCCCATAGGAAAGCTTTTACGGGAAAATCAAAATTATTGGTCAATAGGGGTCCCCCCCCGATTTCGTTCAAAATCGGCACACAGGTGCCCCACCACCAGCCGAGAAACTTTCCCCAAAACGGTCCCCGTTGCATTGACGTTTAAGGCCCGTAAAGCCCCCTAGACTCGTAAAATATCCGTAAAATCGCCTTTGTACGGACAAAAAAGTGGTGCTATGGTAAAAATGGGTATCAATCGAAAGCTCTTGTTTACCCAGACACAGTCCTGCAGGAAAATTCTACTTTTTCCCCATAGGAAAGTTTTTACGGGAAAATCAAAATTTTGGGTCAATGGGGGGTCCCCCCCGATTTCGTTCAAAATCGGCACACAGGTGCCCCACCACCAGCCGAGAAACTTTCCCCAAAACGGTCCCCGTTGCATTGACGTTTAAGGCCCGTAAAGCCCCCTAGACTCGTAAAATATCCGTAAAATCGCCTTTGTACGGACAAAAAAGTGGTGCTATGGTAAAAATGGGTATCAATCAAAAGCTCTCGTTTACCCAGACACAGTCCTGCAGGAAAATTCCACTTTTTCCCCATAGGAAAGCTTTTACGGGAAAATCAAAATTTTGGGTCAATGGGGGGTCCCCCCCCGATTTCGTTCAAAATCGGCACACAGGTGCCCCACCACCAGCCGAGAAACTCCCCAAAACGGTCCCCGTTGCATTGACGTTTAAGGCCCGTAAAGCCCCCTAGACTCGTAAAATATCCGTAAAATCGCCTTTGTACGGACAAAAAAGTGGTGCTATGGTAAATATGGGTATCAATCGAAAGCTCTCGTTTACCCAGACACAGTCCTGCAGGAAAATTTCACTTTGTCCCCATAGGAAAGTTTGTACGGGAAAATCAAAATTTTGGGTCAATGGGGGTCCCCCCCCCCCGATTTCGTTCAAAATCGGCACACAGGTGCCCCACCACCAGCCGAGAAACTTTCCCCAAAACGGTCCCCGTTGCATTGACGTTTAAGGCCCGTAAAGCCCCCTAGACTCGTAAAATATCCGTAAAATCGCCTTTGTACGGACAAAAAAGTGGTGGTATGGTAAAAATGGGTATCAATCGAAAGCTCTCGTTTACCCAGACACAGTCCTGCAGGAAAATTCCACTTTTTCCCCATAGGAAAGTTTGTACGGGAAAATCAAAATTTTGGGTCAATGGGGGGTCCCCCCCGATTTCGTTCAAGATCGGCACACAGGTGCCGATATTTTACGGATTTTTTTTTTTAAGGATTTTACGGATATTTTACGAGTCTAGGGGGCTTTACGGGCCTTAAACGTCAATGCAACGGGGACCGTTTTGGGGAAAGTTTCTCGGCTGGTGGTGGCGCACCTGTGCGCCGATTTTGAACGAAATCGGGGGGACCCCCATTGACCCAAAATTTTGATTTTCCCGTACAAGCTTTCCTATGGGGAAAAAGTGAAATTTTCCTGCAGGACTGTGTCTGGGTAAATGAGAGCTTTCGATTGATACCCATTTTTACCATAGCACCACTTTTTTGTCCGTACAAAGGCGATTTTACGGATATTTTACGAGTCTAGGGGGCTTTACGGGCCTTAAACGTCAATGCAACGGGGACCGTTTTGGGGAAAGTTTCTCGGCTGGTGGTGGGGCACCTGTGTGCCAATTTTGAACGAAATCGGGGGGGACCCCCCATTGACCCAAAATTTTGATTTTCCCGTACAAACTTTCCTATGGAGAAAAAGTGGAATTTTCCTGCAGGACTGTGTCTGGGTAAACGAGAGCTTTCGATTGATACCCATTTTTACCATAGCACCACTTTTTTGTCCGTACAAAGGCGATTTTACGGATATTTTACGAGTCTAGGGGGCTTTACGGGCCTTAAACGTCAATGCAACGGGGACCGTTTTGGGGAAAGTTTCTCGGCTGGTGGTGGGGCACCTGTGTGCCGATTTTGAACGAAATTGGGGGGGACCCCCATTGACCCAAAATTTTGATTTTCCCGTACAAACTTTCCTATGGGGAAAAAGTGGAATTTTCCTGCAGGACTGTGTCTGGGTAAACGAGAGCTTTCGATTGATACCCATTTTTACCATAGCACCACTTTTTTGTCCGTACAAAGGCGATTTTACGGATATTTTACGAGTCTAGGG